CATCTCGCGGTCTGCACAGCTGGGTGATTCTGAGTCCCCTGGACTCTTGACCTCACTCTGCCCCCAACTGCACACACCCATGAGCCAAAAAGATGCCACTAAGAATGGCCAGTTACCCAAGGGCACTTCCTCTCCCTCCCTCCTTGCTGGAGGAACGCATGTCCACGTGGATCATGTCAGATCATAGGAAAAGAGCATTTGCTGGACAGAAATGTCCTCTTAACTCAGCTTTTGCCCCTTTGGCAAAAACTAGCTAGGCGTAGAAGAAAACAGTGAGTAAATGACTGTGTCCTTGGCCTCCCAGACAGTGTACAAAGTGATTATTTTATATGTAAATCAAGACCCACGTCCCTGTCCTGGTCCCCAGAATCAAAAGCCCACTTGGCCTGCCTTGCAGACAAATGGGCTTCACATTCTGTGGCCCCTTCCCCCACGCCTTCTACCCTCTCTCACAGGTTCTAGGGGGGCTGTGAGAGGAGCAGAGTCGGGGTGCTCCTCTTGTGCCCACAGAGATTCTCTGCTTTCCTGCGCGGGAAGGGAGGTCTGGGCGGCGGCAGGGCCCCATCACCCCCCTGACATGCCGTCTGGTAGAGAAATAAAGGTCAAGTGCCTGGGGCAGCGAAAGACCATCGGTGTCTGTTTTCCTGGAAAGCGGTCCCTCATGTGCCCACTCGTGTCCACCTGGGCCCCACCCCAGGAAACGTGAGCGAAGATGGGGCTCCCACATCGCCAGCCAGGGGTCGTGGTCTTCCTCTGAGACAAGGCTCAGGAGAGGGGCTGACTCGCATGGACAAGACTGGACAGTTTGTGCACGTGTTCAAAGCCCTTTACACGTGTTACAGTTCACATGTCTACCCTGAGGAAACAGTCTGGGAGGGGTCCTGACTTGGCCCACAGCAGGGCTGGGCCTGGAGCCTGGATATCAGGGGCCCCTTGCACCCCGCAGAGGGGCCCGCAGCCCTGGCTCTTCTATGGCTCCTGTGTCTCCCTGAGGTTTCTCTCTTGCTCTCTCTCTCCCCTCCTCACACCCCAGGACAGCATCCACCTGTTGTCCTTCCAAGCACCACTCTTTTTTTTTGTTGTTTTTTTTGTGAGGAAGATCAGCCCTGAGCTAACATCCATGCTAATCCTCCTCTTTTTGCTGAGGAAGACTGGCTCTGAGCTAACATCTATTGCCAATCCTCCTCCTTTTTTTTCCCCCAAAGCCCCAGTAGATAGTTGCATGTCATAGTTGCACATTCTTCTAGTTGCTGTATGTGGGACGTGGCCTCAGCATGGCCAGAGAAGCAGTGCGTTGGTGTGCGCCCGGGATCCGAACCCTGGCCGCCAGTAGCGGAGCGCGCACGCTTAACCACTAAGCCACGGGGCCGGCCCCAGGCACCACTCAAATGCACCTCCTGAGGCTTCCCTCAGCTCACACTGTCCAGGGGCCTTTGCGAGGCTGCTTGAGATGAACTCCTGACCTGCCCAGGTGGCCCTGCCCTCTGGGAGCAGGGGCTCTGGGAAGGGACTAGCCACGTCCCGTGTCTCCCTTGTTTCCTGTGAAGGGAAGACTCACTCATGAAGGTTCTGTATCTGATCCTCTCCCCAGCTGCCCCGGGAAGGGGACTCAGGCCCTGCCCATAGGGCCAGAGGCAGGGACCAACCATGTTAAGTTGCAGGGTTCAGTGCAAAATGAAAATGTTGAGCCCTTTGTTCAAAAGTTAAGAATTTCTTGGGGCCAGCCCCAGTTTGCGGGTTCAGATCCCGGACGCAGACCTACACCACTCGTCAAGCCATGCTGGGCCAGCAAGCCATGTACAAAATAGAGGAAGACTGGCACAGATGTTAGCTCAGGGCCAATCTTAAGCAAAAAAAGGGGAAGACTGGCGACAGATATTACCTCAGGGCCAATCTTCCTCACTGAAAAAAAAAAGTTAAGAATTTCTTAACAGTGACAGCAGTGCATTAGATCAAGTGCGGGGCTTCTGAGTGCAGGGCCGTGTGCAACGTCACAGGTCACACGCCCATAAAGCCAGCCATGGCTGGAGGAGACAGGACCAACCCTTAGGAGCACCCAGGTTTTATTTGGGGATGGGGGACAGGACTTGGCACAGAGCTCACAGAGGGAGCCAGGGATGGGCAGAAGGATTCTCCCTCCTGCAAGGTCCATCTATAAGACCTCTCAGATGGCAAAGCCTTTTCATGCTCCTCCCCTCCAAGGGTCCTCACCCAGCTCTGTGAGATGGCACGGGCAGGGGGAAGGGCTCTGTTTTACAGATGCAGAGCCTGAGGCCCTCTGCGGTCTGACTTGGCTGGCAGGCAGGGTGTGGCACTAAGTTGGGCCTGGGGGGCCTTGAGTAGGAGGCAGGTGGGCTCCAGTGCTCCCAGCAGCCTCTGGGGCTCGTCGCAGGGCCCGCTTTACCTCCACCCACACCCAGGTCTGCCCAAGTCCAGCCTTGTCCAGCCCACAGCGTGGAGCCCGACAGGCCAAGATGGGGCAGCCAAGGTAAACAGCGGTTTCCTACCTCACAGCCGCTCGCCCAAGAGGGAATTCCGGGGCAAGCCCGGCACACTTCTCCCTGGCTCAGGGGTGGCAGCTGCCCAGTGCCCATGGCCTCCTCCTGCCCCCTCCAGAGGCCTGGCCTACGCCCCCCATGCTGCACCCCTCACAGGGGTAGGAGGGACCCCATTGGGGCTGCACTGGGAGAAATGGAGGGGCAAAAACAGAAAATGAAGACATACATCCTCACAGACCTGAACCTGAGTGTCCATTGCAGCTGTATTAATTGTAGCCCCAAACTGAAAACAACCCAAATGTCCATCAGCAGGGGAAGAATAAACAAACTGTGGTATGTGCATACAACAGAATACTCATCAGCAGTAAAGAGGAGCACATCCATAGCACAGATAGAGCTTAAAACCCTCATGCTAAGTAAATAAAGCCAGACCCAACAAGAGCTCAAACTGCAATTATTCCACCTACGTGAAGTTTTAGAAAAGGCGAAACAAGTCTATAGCGACAAAGCAGGGCAGTGATTGCCTGGGGCTGGGGGTTGGGGAGAGATTGACAGCAAAGGGGCAGGAGGGAACAATCTAGAGTGATGGATTGGGCGGTGGTTACATACATGTGTCAGAATTCATCAAACTGTGTGCTTAAAACAGGAACATTTTATTGTATGTAAATTATCCCTCAATACAGGTTGATTTGGAAGAAGAGAAGGAGGTGGGAGCTGGAGGAGGTGTGAGGGCCTGGGGCTGCTGAGTGGGGGGAGTGGTTTCAGCATCATCGGGAGGCGACGGGCCTCCCAAGCCAGGGCTCAGTGTTTGAGGGGCAAGGGGCTGGGCCAGCCCGTGGAGTCCCCACATTCCGGAGGCAGAGGGAGGCTAGGGACCAACAGGAAACAGTCCGATAGGATGAGGGACAACCAGGGGCCGTGATGCCTCGGACGCTTAGAAGGAGGGGCTTCAGCTGGGCCATGGCCCATGATGGGGTGAGCAGATAGAAGAGGCGGGAGAAGCAGCACGAGGTCCGGGCAATGGGGAGAAGCCAGTCCTGCGGACCCCTACTGTGACCTCCCCATAGATGCCTGCCCCCCACCTCCCCTTGACAGTCTCTGTCAAGCTGGCCCAGGGCCGTGTTCCAGCCAGCATCTGAGGGCTGCGTGGCATTGGGTGAGTCCCTAGACACCAAGGGAGGCCCAGATGGCGTGGGGGTTGGACTGAACTCTTCCGGCAAGGATGTGACCCCTGCGGCCTTGGGACTCTGAGTGGCCAGGGAGACCCATTGGAGCCTGTGCCGACCCCGTTGAGGGTTCAGGCTGGCCTCCAGGACTGGCATGGGCCCCCTCCACGCTCCACAGAGCCGCTAAATTTAGCCAGGCAGGGGAGGCCATCCTGGGGCCGAGCGTTTGGCAGCACTGCCTTGTCTCCCTACAAGGCCCGGCCCAGTGCCCGAGCTGGCCACTCAGCCTTTGGGCTTATAAGGCAGGCCTGGAGGCTCGAAAGTGCTGGAGTCTTGCGGTGGGCTCTGGGCCAAGCTCTTATACCTTGGGGAGCCTCCTTCCCGGCCACCAGCAGACATGGGAGCTACTTATTGTATGACCTTGGGCAAGGTCACAGAGCCTCAGTTTCCTTATCTGTAAAATGGGGATTCTAGTCCCTACCTCAGAGGGCCGCTGTAAAGAAAACCTGCTCAATTCCAGCATGTGAGAGCACTGTGTCTCCTGTAAACTCTGACCCCTGCCCTGCCCACCCCTGTCCCCCAAAATGCCTAGAACAAATGCAAGTGTCTATCCCTGGGAAGCTGGAGTTGGGGCCAAGGGCAGGAAAGCACAGGCCTCAGATGGAAAGATTCAGGTTAGAACCAGTGAAAGAGACATTGTCCCTGTCAGCTGCCTGTCTTAGTCTTGCATAGTTATTTGCAAGACAAGAAGTTTGAGAAGAGAAATGTAATTGCTTTTATTTCTCTTCCTTTGGGGCATGCTTTGGAGGTGACAACATCCCAAATGAGACAGTCCTCCATGCCAGTCTGTTTTCTGAGCGTCAGGGTCAGAACTAAGACTATAACAGGAGCACGTGTGTGCTGCAAGCAAATCCGTCTATCCGTTGGTCCATCTGTCCTGCAGCAAGCCTGGCTCCTTGGAGGAGGAGAAGAAGGAGCATATGGTGATGGTGTGAAAGGGACAGACACAGATTGGAAAATGACTGCCTGACTTCCTTCCCTCCCTCCCTCCTTCCCTCCTCACCCCCCTCCTCTTTTCTTCTCTCCTTTCCTTTCCCTCTCCCCCTTCCCCTGTCCTTTCCTTTCCCCCTCCCCCTTCCCCTGGTTATTTAGTGCTGGGAGAAGGGTGGGTGTCATAGGACACAGAGATGGCTCAGACACAGAGTCAACACCCACCCCCTCCCCATCGCAAGCAGTTCATGTCCTGGGGCCTGCTATCCAAGGGCTATGGGGTCAGCTGGGAAGGAGACAGGCCTTTTTGTCTGGGGTCAAGACCAGGCCAAGGGGATGTGGCCACCACAGCTCTGGCTCCCAGCATCTCTGGGTTTTTCCTTAGAAAATCCCAGGATGTGGTTCTTGCCAGACCCTCTTGAAGGTGGTGAAATAGTTGAGCCTGAGATTAGCAGGAACTCTGCACAGGGTAAGGCTGATCTGTTTGATGGGGAGATTGGCTGGGGTGCTGGAGGGGACTGTGGGCCTCCCATCGGTGGGGACCCCTTGCCATCCAGAAAGTGGCTTTGCTCAGACAGGCAGCTGGGATTCCCAGCCCGGGGCCTGGCTCCCTGCCCAGAGCGATTTCCCAGCTAAAGGCCTGTCAGGAAGAAGACTCCTATCAGCCTTCGGGGTGGGGCGGCTTGGCCTGGGCGGGAGGGGTGGCTCCGAGGACACCCAGCTTCCACCTCCCACCTCCAGAGGGAGCCCCGGGGACACCCAGCCTGGGCTGAGGCCTGGCCAGGGAGGCCTTTCTGCTTCAAGCTGGGGCCTCTAGGACCGCCCAGGGTGAGCTTGGGCAACCCATTCCTCCTCTCTGAGCTCATTTCTTCATCAGCAAAACGAAGCGGGGGGTTGGAGGAGGCCTCTGGCTCTGGGGCTTGGAGAGCTAACACGGGACCCCTGCCCCACCCCAGGCCCTGGGGACCCTGAGTTCAGGGCCAGGGGTTGAGGACAGGGACTGCAGATGGCCTGTACCTCAAGCTCAGGAGTGGCCTCAAGTTCTCTGTCTTCAGTGTTGTTGTGACCCATCCCCCAAGGGCCTCCACCTCTGAGGAAAGTCCCCTTATCGTCCCCATTTCACAGATGAGGAAGCAGCCTCAGAGAGCCGAGGCACTTACCCAAGCCCCGCGGGCAGCGAGTGGCAGAACCAGGAATGGTGACCGAGGTGGGCTCACGTGAGGCTTTCCCGCTGGGTCTTGGGGAGCCCGACAGCACTGTGTAACAGACGTGGCCCTTGCCTTATCTGGGCGCCTGCCTCCCTCTGCGCGTTTCAGGGAGGTGGAGGTATGGCTGAGGCAGGACAGGTGGTGGGAGAGGAGGGGTGGGGGGGGGGTGCAGATGCCAGCCAGACACTGAGGTTGATGGGGCATAGGCCAGGCTTGGACTCAGAGAGACTGTTGGATGGAAGGTGGGCTTCGAGGACAGGGGTGGGGGTCCTGCTGTGGGCTCAGAAAGTGTCAAGCAGCTGGACTGGAAGGGCCCTCCTCCCTCTTCTGTCCTCCAGGCTGCAGGCCTCCAGGGACTGTGCTCCCCACCTGGGGGCAGAGGTAGGGTGGGGAGGAGGTTTGGATATGGGGATGGGTCCCTGGTTTGGGGTGGGCTCTGACCTGAGGCCACTCCATCCAAGCCCTGACCCAAGCCCCCAGCCCTGTTCTACCAGGTTCGTAGGGGGCTGACAGCTTTATCTTTGCCTTGTGACGGGTGGCCTGTGGTTTCCTGCCAATAGCTCCTGTTTCCGGAGGCCCAGCAGGGCCCAGGCGGAGCCAGGAGGGGCAGTGGGGCTGGGCCTGGGTGGCCCCACCAGTCCCGCCCCCATCTATCTTTGGGAATTTATTTGTCCACAGGCACGGCTGGCCCACAGTTCATTGCCTTCCAGGGGACAAGAGCTGCTCTGACCACCCAAGGATTCTCCCTCCAGCCCAAGTGCCCCCACTGACCTCTGACTCCTGACCTCTAGCCCCACCTGCCCTGCCCTGCCCTGCCCTGCCTAAGGGGCTGGGACGCCCCTAGAATCTCTGCTGTAGACGTGGGTGTTGACACCCGGCTCCCCTCGAGAGCAAAGGCTGTGCAGAGGGCTCGGCTCTCAGCCCCCCAGCCTGGCCACCATGGCGCGGCGGCTCCAGGATGAGCTGGCTGCCTTCTTCTTCGAGTACGACACTCCTCGAATGGTGCTCGTGCGCAACAAGAAGGTGGGCGTCGTCTTCCGCCTGATCCAGCTGGTGGTTCTGGCCTACGTCATTGGGTGAGTCTAGGCCCCTTCCTTGCCACCCTTTGTACAGCCCCCGACCTGGTTCTGTCCTCCAGGCTCTGGGATGCTCTCCATGACCCCAGAAAGCCTCTCTTTCTCTCCGTCGGTTGTCATCCTTCATGACAAACCATTGTGCTATTTGGAAGGAATGGAAGCCTGCTAACTCACTGTCAATATGGGGACACTGAGGCAGAGAGGGGAAGCCCTGCTCTGGGTCATCTGGTGAACAAGAGGCAAAGCCGCTGGGTTCTGAGGAACTGGCTCATTGTTAACGGTTCTAAGTGGTGAGTGCCCATGGCCCCAGCGAACCAGCCAGAGTCCCTCTACCTCTGACCTCCCAGCCAAGCGAGGCCAGTCCTAAGAGGTGGAGGCCACATCCCACTTTACAGTGGGGGCCCTGCTCCCACCTGCCCTGCCTAAATTAGAGGCATCCTGGGATAGTCAAGATCTCCGGAGCAGAGAAACTCTCAAATTCGGAACACCTGGAGCCTTAATGGTGGCATGTCAGGCAGAGGTAGGAGGTCAGAGTGACAGCTCCTTTCTGGGCCTCTTTGGACCTATCTCACTGTCCCAAGAGTACAGGGGCAGAAGTAGGGTGAGACTCCCCTGCAGTCTGGCTGTCCTGGGGACCACGTAAAGGCCATCTTCCTGAAATCAGTCTGGCTGTCCTGAGAGCAGAGACAAGCCCGGCAGGGGCTTGCACACGTGTGTGCTTGTGTGAGCACACGTGTGTGTGGTGTGTGGATGACTGTGTGGTACCCAGAGCTCTGTGTGGGTGCAGGTGCCCTCATGTGTCTGGGTGTGTGCCCAATGGGTGTGGCTGCTGGGTGTGTCCCTGGGCTGGGTGCCCACATGTGCGTGTCCTGTGGCTGAGGCGGCTGGGTACCTGATGTGTGTGCCCATGTGTGTGTGGGGGCATCATGTCCACTCACAGTGACTCTGCAGAGGGCTCCTGGAGGCCCCAGGGCCACTGAAGGGGGTTCAGCCTCTGCTTTGGGGCCGGAGGGCACCCAGCAGCCCCGGTCTGCCTTTGCTGTGTGCTTCTGAGGGCCCTGCCCCCCTGGTCTCTGTGTCCTCATTTTGGCTGTGGGACCAAACCAGGACTCTGACTGGAGCCTAGGGTGGGCTGACCAGGAGGCCAAACAGTGACCACATAGTCCTGGTCCCCCCAGGGCGTCTGGCATCCAAAACAGCCCTCCCTCTGCCCCACCCCTCAAGGTCTCAGAGCTGGTGGCAGGACTCAGCCCTCTGACACCTTCCAGCCTCTGCCTCCCTCCTGTCCACAAACCAATTTGACATCTGCAATGTTATTTGAGCTTGTGAGGGAAACTGAGGCCCAGAGAGGTGCAGTGGGATTTCCAGGTCACACAGCAAGTCAGCACCAAGTCCCAGTTAGGACGGAGGCCTCCTGACCCCCAGGCCTCGGCTCTGCCTTCTCCTTTCCCACCTCACAAGAGCTCTGGGAACCCTTCTAATGGGACACTGATGGTGTGATGCCAGGCACAGGACAGGCCTAAAAGTCCACCATTAGCCACACTCCTGACCCTCCAGGGAAGAGAGATGTTGTCTACCAAGGCCCAGCCCATCCCTTGCCCGGAGAGGCTGGGAGAATGCTGTCCTTACCGTGGCCCCTATGGCTCCCTATTTCTGCTTACTGGTCAGCACAGGGCCCGCTTGTATGTTGGTCATGGACTGTCAGAAGGAAAGGCTCAGTCCTCCCACCCCACCCCAGCTGCAGCATATGTCACGAGCCGCCATCCAGTCCTGAACGCATACTTCCAGTGACGGAGACCTCATTACCTTCTTTTTGCCTTCCTCCCTCCCAAGACAGTCTACTCAGTTTCCAAATGGATGTGGCCTCCTCTGCGTCTGCGAGGCTCAGAGATGCTCAGTGATTTAGCCTGCATCTCACAGCTAGAAAGAGGCTGAACCAGGATTTGAGTTCAGCTGTGTGGCTCCAAAGTCTGCCTTGATATCCTGGAAAGGAAACGTGCTCAGAGAGGGGCACTGACCTGCCAAGTCACATAGCAGAGGGAGGAAGGCAGAGTTCCTTGCAACACCCCCCAACCCCATCCTCCAGCTCAGGCTTCTGGCTCTGGCTTGGGCTGTGACTCTTGTTGTCTCTGGTGCCCTCGTCTGGCCACTGCCCACTGCTGCACTGACCATCATCTAAGAGCCCACAGCTGCAGACCAGAACCAGACTGGACTTGGTCTTACTGTCTCAGGCCTCGGTTTCCCATCTATTCCATGGGGCAGGGCTGGTGGGGAACCCTCTAAAGATGCTGCACACATTCTCAACGATTTGCTCTTTCCTGAGGAAGGACCCCTTCATTTAGTTACCCCCCCCTTCCCAAGTTGCCTGTCTGTCTGAATGTCTGGTCCTGTCAGGCTTGCAGGGGGACAGAGGGGAGCATAGGAGAGGAGCCAGACTCCCGGGCTCCAGAGACAGGGGCACAGCCCAGACCGGGGAGGGGCAGACACAGAGACAGAACTGGACAGAGGGACAGGCATTGGAGCGCAACCTCTCAGATGGAGAGAGAGGCTCTGAGACTTAGAGGTGGAGAGTGAGTTACTGAGACAGAGGCAGAGAGGCTGCGATGCTGAGAACCCGAACAGACTCCAAGGAGGGAAACCGAGGCTGTGTTCTCTCTCGGTCACACTCTTCCAGGAAGTCCAGGGCAAGTGGAGGGGTCAGATGGGCCTGAGGCCCTGATGGGCTGAGCTAAGGCCGAGCTCTTTTTGCCTCAAATTAAGATGGTTAATTTGCAGTTAGACCTGTCTCCTGAGCAGTGATGAGTTCTCTGTAACTGGAGGTGTGCAGGCAGTGGGCTGTCACCCATGACCTAGCAGGCCCATACAAGGGGCGTGCTGGGACATGTCCCCGCCTGGAGGGGTCTGCTCAGGGGAGGAGAGAGGACTGGCTGTAGCACACAGGAGGGTCCTAAGGGGATCTGTGAATGCTGCTTGGGGAGGAGAGCCTGGAAAGACTTCCTGGAGGAGGTGACACAGTGGTGGAACCAGCCTTGAGCAAAGGCCTGGGGGCTTTAGGCTAGGCAGGCCTGCTCTTGGATTTCCCTCAGGCTCCCCTGTGAACCCCCCACAAAGCCCTTGAAATCACATGCTTCTGAGATTTCCAAATGGATCCTGGAGCACACCAATCAAGGATAAGGATAAATACAAATGATTGCCGGGAGAAACACATCCCAGGACATTTCTACAGCACATTCTCTGTGCCTAGTGCTGTGTCAGGCTCCACGGGACCGAGGTGGGGTACAGAGTGGGCAGAGGGGGAGGGGAGAGCTGAGGATGAATTAGCCAGAACGCCTTTGGTTCCTAGTGAAGTGTTGATTGGTTTACGTAACTGAAAGGTCAATGCAGGCTTCAGGCCCAGGTGGGTCCTCCACGAGGAGGGCACAGGAAGGGCAAGTTCTACGGGAGACGAGGAGTTCAGGTCGGTCCCACTTGGGTTCCCAGGGAAGCCAGCTAGGATCTTCTCCTCTTCTCAGCTCTGCTTTCCTCTCTGCAGGCTTCTTTCTCAGGCAGGCTCTCTGGCCTCAGAGTGGCAAAGCGGCGACCAGCAGCTCCAGGCTGACATCTCACCAGCTCAGCCACTCCCAGGGCACACAAGTGTCTCCTTCTCCAGAGTTCCTGGCAAAAGTTCCAGGTCCAACTCTTACTGGCTGGGGATGGGTCATGTGCCCATCCCAGAACCAGTACTTGTGGCCAAGGAAAGGGAATGCCCTCATTGGTGGAGCCTGGTTGTGTGCCCACCCTGATCCAGGCACTCTTGCTAGAAAGCAGAGTGTGATCAAAGGTCCTGGGGCAGGGAAGGAACAGCAAGAGAACAGCTAGGGAGCATGAAAGGAGCCAAAGGAGAGGAAGTGGAGGGGTGAGCAGGGCCACTGGCTCAGGCCTCTGAATGCCGGGCTGTGGAACATGGACTTTCTCCTGCAGGCGGTGGGGAGCCGTGGAAGGGTCCAGCAGGGGAAGGCCTGGGGCAGGCAGGTGTGGGGTAGGGATGGAGGCCAGAGGCAAGACAGCTGTGAAGAGGCAGCAGTGATGAGAGGAGAGGATGAGGCTGTGCCAAGGCAGACGCAGCAAGCATGGAAGACAGAGATGATCACCCTGGCGGGCCCTGCACTGGGGGTGGCGCTGCAGCTTCTGCCCATCAGCGCTGCAGGGGGACATGTGCCCAGCACAGCCAGAGTTTCTGACTTCTCAAGAGCAGTGGGAAATTGGAATTTATGGGTGAAAGGAACCTCTTGGTTTTTAGAAGTTGCCGAATCATTCAAAAACTTGAAAAACATAAACCATCAGCCTCACTTGTCTGCAGACTGCATGCTGAGTAACCTCTGACCCCCAGGGTGCACTCCAGCTCTGAATTCAGTCCCTCCCGGCCCGCAGTCTGGTCTCATCCCGGCCCTATTGGGCTGCTCTGCCCAAAAGCGTGTGCCCAATCTGGTCAGCTCCTGCCTGTGGCCCATAGTTACCCCCTGTGTCACCGGCCACACGACCTGTCCTCCTAGCCCCAGGCCAGAGCTGCCTCAGCATCTGTCCCAGCTCCTCTCGTGTCTCAGCCTGCACACAAGAACCTAGTGTGGACCCTCTAGGTCCCTGGATGAAGGCCAAGGGAGGACAGGAAGGATGAAGTGACCCAAAGAATGTGGGCGTGATAGAGACAGAGGACGTGAGGATGATGCCCAGGCTGTGAGCCTGGGGGAATGGGTATATACTGCGCCATCCTCCCTCACGAACAAGTTCTGTGGAGAGACGAGGCGTGCAGGTTGGTCCGATGGAATTTTTGTTTTGAGATAGAATTCACACGCCATAACGTTTACCTTTTCAAAATATACAGTTTGGTGGTTTTTAGTATAATCAAAAAGTTGTGCAACCATCACCACTGTCTAATTCCAGAACATTTGCACTCCTCCAAAAAGAAGCCCCCTACCCCTTAGCAATCACTCCCCATTCCCCCTATCCACATCCTACTTTGCCTGTTCTGGACTTTTCATGTAAATAAAATCTTGCAATATGTGGCCCTTGCGTCTGGCTTCTTTCATGTTGTAGAAGGTACCAGTACTCCATTCCTTTTATGACTGAATAATATTCTGTTGTGTGGAAATGCCACACTTTGTTTATCCATTCATAGGTTGATGGATATCTGGGTTGTTTTCACTTTTTGCCTCTCATGAATAATATTGCTGTGAACATTTGTGTACAAGTATTTGTGTGGATGTATGTTTTCAGTTCTCTTGGGTATATCCCTTGGAGTGGAATTGCTGGGTCATGTGGTAATCCCATGTTTAACTTTTTGAGTCACTGCCAGACTGTTTTCCAAAGGGTCGAGTTGAATTTGAGGGACCTGTGAGATGTCTGGGGCGGGGGGCCAGGGCACTGGGAAGGAATGTGTGTCACCAAGCTGTGGGAGATGTAGACATTTATATAAGTTCTTTGAGTGCAGAGTATTGGTTCGTTTTGTTCATCTCTATATTTTTAGTGACTAGAACAATTTTTGGCACATAACAGGGGTTCGATAAAGATTTGTTGAATGACTGAGTGAACGTATGGAATTGAATCTCGGAGGAGAGTGCGGAAGTGGAGACAGAAATCCGTGGGACCTAGTGTGTCTGTGATAGCACACACGAGGTTCCACCTGGGCCGAGAAGGGAAGCCAGGAGGGCAGACGGACATTTAAAGAGGAATTAGTGAAGGAGGACCAGAGACCAATAGGAGGATTATTTATTATTATGTGCATGCCAGGCACTGTGCTAATTTCCTCAGGGAGAACTCATGGGAATGTCCCCCAAACAAACACCTAGACTTCTTCTTGCTGGGGCCCAGCCCAGAGCTCAGTGCGTTGTGTGGCCCTGCTTATATTTGTTGATCGAGCAGCCTCTTTGAGGTAGGTGCCATCACCTCCATTTTACAAGAAAGCCAGGGCTCAGAGAGGTTTCGTCTTTAGCCTGAAGCCGCACAGCTGGTGAGTTGCAGTGCTGGTACCTGAAGCTCGGCCTCTGTGACCCCAGAGGCCACACTCTCGGCCACTCTAACATGAGGCTTCTTCCATGAAGGGCTGTTGGAGAAGAGGGATTCAGGACAGGGTGTTGCTGAGGACAAGGAGGAAAGAATGGGAATGAGAATTTTTGGAAGAGGCAGGGTTTCTGAAGATGCCGGTGTCTTTGGCATCAGGCCCCCTTGGTGGCTGTCCCGGGGTGGTGACCACAAGGCCAGGTCAAGGCGAGCACGGCTTTAGAGGGGCGGGCTTGGCACCATGGTCGTTCTATTATTATCAGAACCGAAGTCATTGATGCCAGATTTGACTTTTCCCTTTGACCACCAGGACTGACAGCCCATGGGGCAGACACGGCCCAGAATGGCTGCATCAGCCCCAGCACGCAGCCTTGGTGTGGCTTTCGGCAGACACGTTGATGCCAGGCTGCTCATTGGAGGGGGGCAGAGTCCTGGGCTGGGAGCCTTGAGCCTGGAGTCTGCCCTGCTTTGCCTCTGACTTGGGAAGGACACTCCCCCAGGCCTCAGTTTTCCCATCTATATTGTGAGGAGTTGGTATAGGGCAAAGAGAGAAATGCTGCTGGGACCTCAGGAGTGGGGGCTGTCAAGGGTGAGGCCAGCGACCTCTCCTGAGGGGGGTTCAGAATACGGAGCAGCTCTCCCACGACCCCCTAACAGCAACTTCGAACTTGGACATGGAGCCAGAGGCCTTCCTGGAGGAAGAAACCTAAGGAGAGTGGGGGGATGGGTGATGACCCCACCCTCCCTGATGGGGCAGGGGGCAGGCTGCAGGCTCAGGACACTGAGAATTGGGAGCCTTTGTCATGCCTCACCTGTTGCCATCTGGGACCTGCAGGGGGCAGCAGTGACCACGCTTAGGCTTGAAAGGGGTGGCTTGGCTCCAGCGCCGGCCAGAAGAGGGGCTTGGAGAAGGAGAGGAGAGGACCACAGGAGGAGAGGACATTGGTGGGTTGCCTTCCTGGGGCCTGGAGCAAGGAGACAGCCCCCAGAGAGCTAGCAGTGATGCTGGGACTAAGAGGCCTGGAGAATTCTGTTACTAGGCCTGAGCTCAGGGGGACAGGAGAGGGGCTTTGAGCTCTATTTGGACAAGTGGGCTAAGGGTAGGGTGAGGGGTGACGGAGGCATGAACACACCTCCCCACGGTCAGATACTGCCACAGGTGTGCTCACAGATTTGCCCTGGAGATACACAGCTACACACTCTGACGGGCACCATGGACACACACACACACACACACACACACACACACACACACACACAGAGTTACACTGAATCTCCATGAAGAGTCTTTCCTGAAGGAAAACTCTGGAGAGAAGTGTTATTCAGGATTCTCAGCGTAAGCAACAGAAACTAAACCCAAACTGGCTTGCATAAAGGAAGGGAACTTATTAGGTCATGTAATTGAAAAGTCCAGACGTAGATTTTTCAACATGCTTCAGGTATGGCTGGATCTAGGTACTCTAACAACATTGTCAGGAGTCTGCCCCTCTGCACCTCCTGGCCTGGCTTTCTTCTAAGTTGGCTTCATTTTCAGGCTTGCTTTCTCCATGAGGTAGCAAAGATGACTAACCATAGTTTTGGTCTTCTAGCCACCTTGCTTAGCCACTCAGCAGAGAGAATGTCTCTTTCCCAGTAATTCCCAGAAAAATCTTGGCCTCATTGCTGAAACTCCCCAGGTGGTGTGTTCAACCTTAGACCCATCACTGTTGCTAGGGTGATGGAACACTGTTTGGCAAGCATTGGTCATGTGCCCCTGCTCCGACCCTGGAGTTAAGAGGGAGGTCAGCCCCATTGAATCGCCCAGATTGAAAGTGGAGAACCCAAAGGAACAGAGGTTCTCAATGCTGGGAAGGGAAGGCCAGAATTTCCCAAGAAAGGTGGGAGGCCTCCAGCCTGAGCCACTCCCACAAGGCCTCAACCAGGACCAGATGCTGCAAGCCCGTCAGAGGGCCACCTGCCCCATTTCCCTTCCAGCTCCCCTCCCAGGGGCTCCAGCATGGCTGAGATAACAACAGCTAATGTCTATATAGCGCTCACTCGGTGCCAGTCCCCATTCTAAGCGCTATTACATGCGTTAACTCTCAACAACAAGTACTATTGGTACTATTATTGTTATTCCCATTTTATAGATGAGGAAACTGAGGCAGAGAGGGATTGAATAGCTCACCCAGAATCACACACTCCACGCGTGTGTAGCTGGGCTCCAAATCCAGGCTCTCGGGCACTGAAGGCCAAGCGCTCAGCCCTCATGCTCTGCTGTTTCTTGGTAGGAGGACCTCAGGAAGGAAGGAGCGCTCTGGGAATGAGGATTGTGGTCCAAGAAGCTTCGCCTCTGGGCCCAGCAGATCCTGCTCTTTGAAAAGGATCTGAAAGTGTCCTTCAGTGGGTCTCCTCCCTGGGAATTCCATAGTGAAAAGAACGGTGGAACTTCCCGCACAGGCCAGCTGGAGGGAGGCAGTGATGCTCTCCTGCCTCCAGCCCAAGACGCAGCTTTAGGAGCAGAGAGTGGCTCAAGATGCATCTGGGAGGGAAGGGAAAGGACTTGAGATGTCCAGCTGGTGCCAGAAGGGGCAGCGGCCCACAGAGCCACGTGTCATCCTGGAATGGCCCTGCCCAGCTCTGCCTTCCATCCCCCAACAGGTGGGTGTTTGTCTACGAGAAGGGCTACCAGACCTCAAGCGGCCTCATCAGCAGCGTATCTGTGAAACTCAAGGGTCTGGCTGTGACGCAGCTCCCAGACCTGGGTTCCCAGGTCTGGGACGTGGCTGACTACGTCTTCCCAGCCCAGGTAAGCTGGCTCAGAGCTGGGTGAAGCTCTGTCCCACCTCCCTGTGGACCAGTCCAGCTCCTCTCTCTCTCTGGGCCTCAGTTTCCTAACTGTGAATGAGGGGCAGAAGCAGCCTCGTAACATCCCCCACTCTGACATCATGGGTGTGGAGGCTGCTGGGTGTTATGTGGGTCCTAGGGGTCTGCTGGGGCCATGTGTGGGTTCTCGGGGCTGTTCTTCCAGCTCAGATCCCTTCCCTCCCCTCCCCCTGCCCCTCACTTCCAGGGAGACAGCTCCTTCGTGGTCATGACCAATTTCATCGCGACCCCCCAGCAGGCTCAAGGCTACTGTGCAGAGGTGAGGACTGCTGCCCATCCCCCCTTCTCGGACCAACAGGGAAAATAACACGGAGGAGGAGATCCCCTTAGGCATTGGAGGTGAAGCTGGATAGGCTTCCCGCGGGGGGCCACAATGGTAGAATTTCAGGCATAGATTCACACAAAGTAACGGTTCACCATGGACAGTGCTGGGCCTTCCCTCCCAGCTGTGTGCCAAGCAGGATGCTGAACCTTAGTGCCCTCCCAACCCCCAAGCCCCAACCCCCACCCCCTGCCCACCAGCTGACATCGGCAGTGGTCAGCCTGGCATGAGCCCAGAGGGGTCCTGGGAGGGGAGTGGGGGAAGGAGGCTGTGAGCAAGGGTCACCCCAAAGGGATCTGAGACTCTGCCCCACGCTCCCTAGGGCCCTGGGGGTGGGAGGGGCTCTTCTCGGGACCCCACCCAAGGGGCTTGGGGCCAGCAGCTCTCCCTTCCCCCAGCACCCAGAAGGGGGCACGTGCAGGGATGACAGCGGCTGCACTCCAGGGAAGGCAGAAAGGAAGGCCCAAGGTGAGGTCCACCTCCTCCTGTCCCCCTTCATAGCCCCTGTCAGCTTCAAGCTTCCTCGCCAGGAAGTCCTTCCTGCTCTCTCCCCTCCTGCCACCCTGACCTTGGCCTGCCCTGTCCCAGACCCAACCACGTTTCTGTCCTCAGGCTTCTGCTCTTGGGTGCCCCATCACTGGGATCTCCTAGGGGCAGGACCTGGGGGCCTCCTCTGCACTCCCAGCTTGAGGTGGGCACCTACGGGTTCCTCCATTGCTCCAGGCATCCGCACGGGCAAGTGCGTGGCCTTCAATGACACCGTGCAGACGTGTGAGATCTTCGGCTGGTGCCCCGTGGAGGTGGACGACAACGTCCCACGGTAACGCCCTGTCCTTCCAGAGAGCTGGGTGGAGGTCCCCAGCCCAGACAGAGGGGCATCTGGATCTGTGTTCTGGGAAGGATCTGTCCCCCTTCTTCTGACTCTACCCTCACCCCATCCGTGCGGCCCAGGCCAAAGATCCCCCAGCCCCTGGTCAAGGGGCCTGAGAGTCCACCATTATAGCACACCTGCCCCTCCACCCATCCCAGGCCACAGGAGGATCCTTAGGCTATCACACCCCCATGCACACCGTGCCAAGCTCTGGTGGGCACCGGGAGGGCCTCAGGGGGAGGGGGCGGTGAGTGAGTGTGGTCTCCTCCAGCCCTGCCCTTCTACGAGAGGCCGAGAACTTCACTCTCTTCATCAAGAACAGCATCAGCTTTCCACGCTTCAAGGTCAACAGGTTCGTGGGAAGGGTGGGCAGAGACGCAGGCAGCTCCCCAAGGCTGCTCCAGCTGCTCTCAACTCTTCGTCGCCCTCCACTCCTGCTGATTTCCCTCTGGAGGCAGAAGCTGGGGCCAGGCCCCTGGGGGCGCTGCCTCAGTCTCCAAGGGCTGTGGAAGGGCATTTCTGGATCCCGGGAGGCATCCCCAGAGCTTCAGGGCATGGTGGGCACCCTCCCAGCTGGCATGCCGCTGCCACCAATGTCCTCTGCCCCCACAGGTGCAACCTGGTGGAGGAGGTGACCACTGCCTACATGAAGACCTGCCTCTACCACAAGACCCTGCACCCGCTGTGTCCCATCTTCAAGCTGGGCTACGTGGTACAAGAGTCAGGCCTGAATTTCAGTAGCCTGGCCGAGAAGGTACGGTGCCAGGCAAGTGGGGAAGGCTGGGCCTCAGGACCATCAGGCAATAAAGGCTTTTCAGCCTCCCCAGACCCTCCCTGGTGTAGGCCAGGTATATATATACGAATCTATTCCCTAATACTGGGGGCTCCTGAGGGTCAGGCCTGTGTCCTCAGCAGGGCCTGGCATGGACCTGGCACACAGGACGTGCCCAGGATGAATGGATGTGGGCAGACTTGTCACCTGGACGTCTGAGGTCCCACCGGTTTTTAAATATTAGATAAAGGCAGCTTGAATCCCATGGCCCATGGTCCTGAGAAATCCTGTGCCCTGCCCAGAATTCCGGAATTCTGGGGTTCCGAGAGAAGGGGTGCCTTGTAAGGAGCACAGGCTTGTCTGCCTAGGTTCACATCCCAGCACTGCCCCTAATGAGCAGCGTGACCCCAGACAGGTCTCTGACTTTCCATGTGTCTGAGTTTTTGCACCTATCAAGTGGGCGCGATGATAGTGCCAGTCTCGTAGGGTTGTCTTGAGGATCAAGTGAGTCCCCGCGTGGGACAGTGCTTCAGTACCGCCTGGCAGGTGGCCGCCTGTTACGTGTTCCCACGTGATCGCTACCAGCCTGCTCCTGCAGCCGCCGGTTCAGGGCTGGCAATCAGCCCCTTTTCTGTGATATCGCGCACACATGCACAAACTCTCTCACAACACATTTATCTAGAACAGGGGTCAGCAAACTTTTTCTTTAAAGGGCCAGAGAGTAAGTATTTTCAGCTTTGCAGGCTGCGTGGTCTCTGCTCCAGCTACTCAGGACAGCTGCTGGAGAGCAAAAGCAGCCACAGACATGGGTAAACAAATTCGGCCCTTGGGCCTCAGTTTGCAGACCCCTGGAGGGGGTGTACACTGTAACAACGCACACAACCAGAAAGCTAAAGTTAGATTTCCCTGTTCCTAAAAATCTCCCTGCCGCCCCCACTGGGAACTTCTTACCCATCACCATCATCTTCAGGTACCAGCCTCCCCCCAGTTGCCCAGCTCCGTGCCTGCCCTGATCACTTCCCAACTCTCCTGTTGCTCAGCCCACCCCCACCGGTCCCTGAGCCTGGCCGCGCCCAGAGAAGCTTTGCTTTCTCAAGCTTTCTCTTCCCAGCCCATGTCTTTACACACTCACTCTTTAACTCAACAGCTATTTATGTGCCTCCCACACTGTGACTCCCACTGGGAACTCAGGAGTCAGTGACGAAGGAGACAGACAGTCCTACCCTCGTGGACCTTACGATCTTGAAGGAGATGGGTTAATAATCACACAAAATCAATATACGACTACAGAGTGACAAATGTTCCAGAAGAAAACACAGAGGGAACATATTTCAGACTGGGGGCTGGTCAGGGAAGGCCTTTCAGGGGAAGTGACCAAAGGATGAGAAAGAGCCAGCCTTGTGGGGAACTGGGGGAACTGCCTGTGCAAAGGCCCCGAGGTAGGAAGAGCTTGGTGTATTCCAGAACCAGTCAGAAGGCTGGACTGTGATGGGCGGGCAGTGGGGCCAGAGGTGGTGATAGGACCTCAACCCTGAAGCAGCTTCTCAGTGTCTCTTCTCAAACAAAAAACAAGTTCCCTCTTCAAGAGACTGCTGGCACTGGCCGTAAGACAGGAGTCTCTTGATCTTAAAACCCTGGATCTTGAACCCTGTGTCCCTGGCAGGGCGGGGTGGTAGGCATCACCATCGACTGGAACTGTGACCTGGACTGGCACGTGCAACACTGCAAACCCATCTACGAGTTCCATGGGCTGTATGAGGAGAAAAATCTGTCTCCAGGCTTCAATTTCAGGTGCCCGCCAGGCCCCCACCACTGCACCCTTCCTTGGGGGCCCTTGGGCTTTTCCACTCCCAGAACCCCTTGAGGCCAAGCAAGTATCCCCAGGAGGGGAGCAGAGGAGGCTGGGCTGCTCCCATCCTCCTCGATTGGTCAAGCAGGGAGCCCGCAGAGAACAAGACCTTGGCCCTGGCTCTCGGTCCCCTTGAGGCCTCCCTGGCCAGGGCTGGCTGGGGAAATTACTGACATTGGGAGCCAGGGTGAGGGTTGAATACAGCATTCCCTGAATGAGGCGGGGATCTTGCCTATGACTCTCCCTCTATATAATGTTGGGGGCACGGGGTTGTCCACATGGAGCTCTAAGGGCTCCTGCATCCCTGATGCTCTGAGAACTCCGGACCTGAGACAGTTCTCCCTCACCCTCTCCTGCAACCTCGCCCCTTCCCAAGGTTTGCCAGGCACTTCGTGGAGAACGGGACCAACTATCGGCACCTCTTCAAGGTGTTTGGGATTCGCTTTGACATCCTTGTGGATGGCAAGGTGAGTGTCCAGTGTGAGGGGCAGCCAGAGACACATTCTCGGTTCCTGCGAGTGCCTGTCGCGTGTCTGTAGTTGTAGAGACAGGAAGTTGGATCGGCTTCACTTGGGGGTTCTAATTCTAAGAACAGATGGACCCGGGGACCGTGGGGGCAGGGCTTTCCCGCCTGTGACCTCACCCCCCCCACTGTCTCCCTGTGTCCAGGGATGCAGAGCCAATGTCAAAACCCAGGGCTCCTGACCAGCGGATGGGTCCCCAGGGCAGTGGGCCCGTGGGCAGCAGGCTATGGGCCAGCTAACAGTGGAGGGGGGAAGCCCGCTGGCCCCAGGCCTGTCCTTAGGGCTTCTGAGGAAGGCCTTTTCCACGAGGCCCCTTCTGATGGTTAACCTTTCTCTCCCCTGGGCCCTGCCACCAGGCTGGGAAGTTTGACATCATCCCCACAATGACTACCATTGGCTCTGGGATTGGCATCTTCGGAGTGGTAAGTGCCAGGGTCACGGCATCACTGTGCCAAGGTCAGTCCCCCCTCTTCCACATCTTAGTAGCAGCAACAAGTCTCTTGCCCCAAAACTTGGCTGTAATTTTCCATCCTTGCTGAGCCCCCCACCACCACCCTAGACCCACAGTGTGTCTGGGGAAACTGAGGCCCAGAGCTGAGGCAGGACAGAGGCGGGACAGAGCAGTGCCTCATCCCCCTCCAGGACCTGAGGTCTGGATAGGGCAGGGTTCAGCCAGGCCCCCGAGGTCAGTAGGGACGGAGGAATCTGCCCCCAGATTCCCACCCTCGCCCCCCTACCCCGCCCCCAGGCCACGGTTCTCTGTGACCTGCTGCTGCTCCACATCCTGCCCAAGAGGCACTACTACAAGCAGAAGAAGTTCAAGTACGCGGAGGACATGGGGTCAGGGGCGGTAAGAGAACTCCCCGAGTCTGCCCTTCAGAGGCTTCAGGCCCACGTGTCTGTGTTGGGGTCCCCGCTGCTTCCCTGGGGCTGACTTTTATCCCCCCAATGCTTACACAGGGCGAGCGTGACCCCACGGTCACCAGCTCCACCCTGGGCCTGCAAGAGAACATGAAGACATCCTGACCTTCGGCCCCCGACTCCTGACTGGATGCAGCGTAAGGCCTCGGGCCGGGGCCCTGGTGGGGTCCCAGCCGAGGCAGAGGGCTCTCCCCAGGAGCTCTCTCGCCCTCTCAGACAGACAGACACCAGGTTGCCAGCAGCTCAGGGTGGACACTGGGAGAGACCCGCTCAATTCTGGGCTCTGGCTCCAACTCCGCACCCCACAAGGGAGCCTCACTCCAGCCTCAGCCACTCCTGGTCTGGAGGGGCTGGGGCTGGGCGGAGGCCCGCTCACATTCCTGTTCCTCTGCTTTGTGTTTCTCCTCTGGGCCCTCATCCATCCCACTGCCTCAGCGTCTCTACACCTGTGCTCTCCAATATGGCAGCCACTAGCCACAGGTGACTATTTAAATTTAAATTAATTAGAATTGAATTCCTCAAACTAGCCACATTACAGCTGCTAAATAGACACAGGTGGCTAGTGGCTGCCATATTGGACAATAGAACATTTTCAGCCTCGAAGAAAGTTCTCCTGGACAGCTCTGCTTAAGCCCTGTTTCTTACTGGCCTCAGATTTCCCTGGGGGCTTATCAACAATGCAGGCCCCTGGGCCCACCCCAGAACTCTGAACCAGAATCTCCAGGGCTGGCCACGTGACCTGCAAGGCTAGCAAACTCCCTAGGCCATTTTAAGAACCTAAGTTGAAGAACCGCTCCTGCTTCAGTCTCAGGCTTAGCCTGGGCCTGCATCACCTGGCAGGTGCAGGCACCGAGCAGGTGTGTGGTGTGCTCACAAGCCACATGGTGTCTCATGCGCACCCCCCTCCCATCCACAGTGTGTATTTGAACAGCTTGGGCTCTGCAAACACAACCATCTGAACACACCTACACCCCCAGGCACAGACACATGATCCATACCCCATCACCTCCACGGGGATATGCTTCTCGCCAAGTGTGTCAGGCCAGGACAGCCCCTTCTAGCCATGAATCCTTACTCAGCTACCTCTGGCAGGTGGGGGAACCTCAGCCGAATCCTGGGCTCCCTGCCTGTGGCCCAGCCCCAGCTCCCAAGGCCTGCCCGGCTCTGTCTGAACACACAGTCTGGGGAAAGCAAGGGGTGGAGTATAATAAAAGGAATGAGGACAAACCTCTGCCTTCTGCACTTTCTTCCCAGCCCTCTCTGAAACTCGGTGTCCCCATCTGTACAAGGTGGGCCGAGCTGAGCGATCTTTGAGGTCCTTCAGGCTCTGTCGGTGGGTGGGTGGTGGCGAGCCAACACTTATGCCCTGAGCCCAGCAGGGTCAGTGCTGGGGGTCAGCTCACTTCTGTCCATGGACCACTGTCCTGGCCCAGCCCCAACACTGGAGCTCTTCCCAATCCTCCACAAACCCCTCACGCCGTGACAGGCCTGGCACTGGGAGGAGCAGAGAACCTCAGGGGCAGCCTCATGAAAGCAGGCCTGAGAAGGGGGCTGGCTGTCCCAGGAGGGAGATCTGAGGGAATCCCAGAGAGGGGAGGAAGGTCTCAAATGGAGACAGTGTGGAAGGATTCTCCGGGGGCCCTGCTGTGGGCATGCCCTCCAGTCTGGACTTACAGCCAGGCAGGTCTCAGGGCACCCCCATCCCTAGGCTCTGTCTAGACCAGTGCTGTCCAACAGCAACGATGGAAACATTCTCTCTGTGCTGCCCGATGTAGTACTCGCTAACCACATGTGGCCACTGAGAACTTAAAATGTGGCTAGTGCAAGGGAGGAACTGAATTTTTAATTTCATTCACTTTTAGTTAACGTAAATCGCCACGCGTGGCGAGTGGCTACCATACTGGACAGCACAGGCGAGCCCCTCCCCTCTCCCTCAGGCCGTTAGCTTTCTGCCCTCTTCCCCAGCCGAGAATCATCCTTCACATTTTACAAGATGGGCTCTCCCTCTTCTTCCCTCCCTTCCCTCTCCAGACCTACCTGCTTTCGCACCTCCTGCCGCCTTCCCTCCTGAAGGAGCAGAAAAGGATTCTTCCTTTGTATCCAGCCCTCCACCCAACCCAGAGACCTCCCAGCAGAGGCTGCCTCGGCTTTGCCTCCTCCCAGCCCATGCTCCCTGCAGCTCTGCCTGCCCTCCCTTCCCTGCCACCACTCCAGAGAGACCAGTCCACACTTCCTTCTGCGTCCCACCCTCTGCAGTTGGCCTCAGCCCCCACCCCCGCTTCTCCTAGATGCCCTTGCCAAGGTTACCGGCAGTGTCCTTGTTGCCAAATCCAAGCAGACACTTCAGCCTGTATCCTCGTTGGCCCGTCAGCCTCCGACACTGTGGACCAAGCCCTCCTTTGTTGAAAGATTTCCTTCCAGTAGTTCCTAGGACCCACCCTCTCCTGATTTTCCAGCCAGCCTGGTGTGCAGGGAAAAGACAGTTTTCAATTGCAGCTCCGCCAAGGGTCACTGCGTGTCCTTGGGCAAATTGCTTAACTCTCCAAGCCCCCTCTGTGAGTCAGGGATAATAATAGCCTCCACTCAGGTTGAGGGAAGATAAGATATGTAAAGTGCCTAATACAGAGCCTGGCACACAGTAGTGCCCGCCCTTCCATCTATCCTCTCTTTCAATGGTAGAGTCAGCTAGTTGTCCTCGGATATCTATTCTCTCTACAGTGATACAGCCCTTGGTTCTTAGCTGGGTATGTGGCTGCCTAAAATGGAAGCTGCATTCCCAGCCTCCTCTCGCAGCTGAGTCTGGTCACATGACTAAGTTTTAGCTAATGGGATGTATGTGGAAGTGTCATGTGACACCTTCTGGGAACTTTCTTTAAAAGAGTGATAGTGTGGATCCTTTCCCCTCTTCGTCTTCATCCGTGTCCCCATCCCACTGCCTGGAATGCATATGTGATAGCTGGAGCTCTAGCCACCACCCTGAACCATGAGGACAAGAGTCATACCCGGAGGTGGCTGGAGCAGTGAGTGGAAGAAGCCACATTGGGGAGGTCTTTGTGGAGCAGAGCTGACATATCAGTCCAGGACTGTCTTCCCTGAGGCTCTTATGTGGGATTTCTGTTACCTACGTCAAAACTGATCCTACCCGGTACAGAAATCTTTCCCCCTTAAAAGCGAGTGTTCTGTCCTTGGCCGCTGCTGTATTTGCTCTGAGGTATCTCACCCTTTCCCATGGCTCTGCTTACAACTACGGGTCCTTTCTGACAACTTCCAAAACTGCCTCACTGGCTCAAACCTCTTTCCCGAACTCTGGCCCCACACATCCAACCCCCCAATTGCCTTATCCAATTAATTATTCATTCAACAAACATCTGTTGAGCACCTACACGATGTGTCAGGCTGTGTGCTGGATGAATCAGGCACAGTCTCTGCCCTCAAGGAGCTCCTGGTCCAGAGGGGGAACAGGCAGGTAAACAGATGCTGAGTACCAGGAAGGTGCAGCTAACCCACGCTGGCCAGGGAGGAGGTCATGGGGAAGGGTTCCTGGCAGAGGCACATTGAACCAAGCCCTGAAAGGATTAGACAGGCGGGTGGTTAGGACTGAGGTCATGGAGGGCTTGATTGGACATATTCTCAGGGTACTGGTGAGCCATGGAACATTCCTAAGCAGGAGCTGACCAGTTGGACTTGTGTTTCTGAAAGAGTGCTCTGGCTGCCGGGGGAGAAACGCTAGTGGGAGGGGTGAGACTGGACGGGGGTGGGAGGCCAAGGAAGAGGCTGCTGCAGCCATCCAGGTACAAGATGCTGGCGGCCTGGGTTACAGGAGGGGCAGAGAGGTGAAGAGAAGTGGATGGACTCCAGAGAGATTTAAGAGGCAGCAGGGCTTGGCGATCAACTGGTTGGGACAGGAAAGGGGTAGGCTACGGCGACTCCCAGGTTTCTGGCTCCAGATTGAAACAGGGACACAGGAGGCCAGGTCTGGGGGAGTGATGTGGGGTTCTGTCTTGGGCAAGTGGTGGGGTGAGGTGGCAGAGGATTCGCAGGTGGAGAACTTAGCGTAACTGAACCAAGAGCTGGTGAGCCCGCCAGGGGAGAAGTGGGGGGCAGAGTCTCCAGGAACAGCCACCAGGAAGGTCAGGCCGGCCCGCGGAGTCTCCTCCATTCCCTCCGCCCCAGCCAGGCCCTTCCTGCCGCCTGCTCACAGAGCCCTTCCCCACACACGAATCTGACCATGCCCCCAGCCCTCTGTGCTAAACGGCTTCCCGTCCCCCCTGCCATCCACTCAGCAGAAGGCGAAACTCCTGAGTCCGCCATTCAAGGCCTCTCTCCCGGCCCTTGGCCTCGGCCGCAGCCCTCACGGCCGTGCCCCTCCCCTAGTACGCACCACGCCTCACCCCCCGGGAGCGCTCTTGCCCCTGCCAGGCCGGGATGGAGGCGGACAAAGGGTTTGGGGGGTAAGCACCTGTGCCCTCCAGGCCCCGCTGTGGAGCCCAGACCACGGCCTGCAGGGATTCCGGGGGACCCCAGGCAGCCAGCACCGGGGCGTCGGGGGCGTGACGAGGC